AAATATCAAAATTCAAAGTACAATTTCTATTGAATGCATCCTAGTTTTGCACCATGATACAGTTCAAAATTGTAACCTGAACTAGGAGTACTTGTAATTCTAAATATTCTTTATCTCATTATCAAATTTAATCATCTTTTCAGTTCTCATCTAGCTTAAACATTTCTGTCCTTACTTTATTTGATCCATCATTAACTTCTGACATACCTTACAGAGTTCTCTTGGCCTTAGAAGTGATGTTACCTTTGAAACTTTCTGATATGTAGAAATGTCTCATGGGATATGGGTGCACATATTTCCTCAAGGGTTATATATACACTTCTGAAACACCAGAAATAGCTGAACAATTAATTATCACTGTTATTCTTGGTTCTGTGATTGTTTTATTATCTAATTTTTGTCTTACACTCCTGAATAGAAAGCTCCTTTACTATACACTTTATCCTCCAAGATATTTACTGCAGAGGTGAATAGAGTAAGGGCTCCATTAATGCCAGTTTCACTGTCAGGGATATTTGGCATTTCCAGTGATTTTTTTTTTTTTTTTTTTTGGTACCGGAGATCAAACTCGGGTCCTTGCACTTGCGCAGCAGGCGGCGAAACCACTGAGCTAAATCCCTGGCCTTTCCAGTGATTTTTACAGAGTCAACCAGGTTCCTGGTTCTGTGATATCTTATTAATAGTATTTTAGTTTTATTGGTCCCTTGCAATAACCTGCAGAAGCTCCTTCATTAATGAGACAAAGTGGCACATTCAAAACACAGCTTGCAGCAATATCAAGAGTGCCATCAATGTCATCTTAAAAAATTCATGGAAGCTGCTAAGATGCCAGGAAAGGGCATGTGAGGAAATATAAGAACTGATTTGATTTGCTAAAGATCCTACCTGAACTGCATTTGTTTTGCAATCATGATTATTCATGAGCACTTTCTATATCATTGCTATATCATAAAATATCCTGGATTTTCTGAATAACTTTCATCCCTGCCTTTTCTGACATGTGAAGTATCAATGCTCCCTTAACCCAGCTGATGTGGTGGTTTGTTGGTGGCTGCTGAATTTTATTTTAAAGGTTACCGGAAAGCAAAATCATTTTCATTGAATTATTTTTAATAGTATCTTTTTTCTTTTTTTTTTGGTACCGGGGATTGAACTTGGGACCTTGCGCTTGCAAGGCAGGTGGCGGAACCACTGAGCTAAATCCCCAGCCTTCGTCTAATACAATAAGTCCCCAACTTACAAATGAGTTCCATTCTGGGAGAATATTTCTAAGTCAGATTTGTTTGTAAGTCCAATAAAGTGAGTTTTATACATCTTTAACACAAATATACAACGTAAAGCATAAAAAAACCAAACACATACACAAAAGTACTATAAACAAACTATTTTTACTTTTAAGCTCAGTAAGCACACAGCAGAGCAACACAACTGTGACAATGTCCAGCAGACACGTGAGCTCCTTCCATGATTTGTTCTCATCTATGACTGTTCGTAATGAGAGGTCTGTCTGTATCTGGGAAAAGTTTGCAACTCAAATGTTTGTACATTGGGGACTTACTATACAGATACTCCTCGTTTAATGACTACCTGGTTAATGACTGTTCAAACTTACGACCATTTTTTTTCTTAGTACAATTCTGTGCATCTTGTTGACAGACTTTCAACATCTTATTTTTGTATAGTATACCTTGCTTATACAGTGATTCTGCTGCTTGTACTGTAGTTTTATATTCTATTATACATTACATTACTGGATGAAAGCGTTATGCAAATAAAAGCAAAGTTATCAAGTTAGAGATTCCTTTGACCATTACTTTGTTCAGAATATTGTAATGTATATACTATACACAATTTTTATTTAGTGACCATTTAACATCCTAGTAGCAAGAACAGAACTCGGTTGTTAAATAAGTATCTGTATTGTCTTTTTTCCACCAACAGAATTGAAGTTTTGAAAGAGGAATGACTTCATCTCTTTTTGATCACTAGAATTCCATTTACAACAATGTCTGACTTTATGATACATGTTCAACAGTACTAGGTGATCAAAACGTCAAAAATGACACAGCATAAATATTCCAATTCCAAAAGGGAGGAATGGGGGACAAAAAGGAATAGGACCAAAGTAAGACTGAAAATCAGCAGGGAAAATATTAAATCCTGTAGCTCTCATGCCAGCACCTAGGGTATGCTGTGATGAGATGTGAACTCCAAACAGCTTGGGCAAATCTGCTCCTATGGCACTGGTGGTTACAGTCCTCATGGCCTCTCTCTTGGGGTGGCTTTGCTCACTGCCTACAGTTTTCCTCAGATGTTCCATGTTCCTGGCTTTTCCAACTTCTTGGGGTCTCAACAACACTTCTGGCTTCACTCTCACAGTTTCACATAATGTCTTCTCAAGGGTACATTGCCTGGCCTACTAGTCCTCTTGAAATCTGGGTAGAAGCCTCCCTGACTCCATAACTCTCGTATTCTGTACACCTGTAAAACCAGCACCACCTGGATAATGTCAAAGTCTGCCGCCAGTTCAAGTAGTAGTCGAGCCCCCTTGGATCATGGCTAGAGACCTTTGCGTGCCTGAATGACTGTGAACTGAATCCAGGGTAACCAATTTACTAGCCTGCCCTTCTGAAGCACGGTGCCCTGGGACTCTCTTCTCAAGCAGTCTTTCAAAGGAAGTTACCTTTACCTTTTTATACCCCTGAGTCAGTGAAAAGTAGTGTCTTGCTTATTTCTGAGACGCCCTCAAGGAATATTTCCTATTGTCCTGATGAAAGTACTTGGTTTCATTTTAATGCTAACCAAGCTCTCTGCTTTAACTTTGCAGGCGCTTTCTTTCTGAGGAAACTGAAACTTCAAATGGGCTTTTTGTTCTTGGTTTTCCATATAAACCTAGCTAAATGCTGCCAGGAGTACCCATGCCACAGCCTGAATGCTGGGCTGCCTTGAAATTTCTTCTGCTAGATTAGTCTGCTGACCTTAATCTCAGTCTCCCACAAAGTCCCAGGACATGGGTAAAACATAGACAAAGTTTCTGCCAGAGGGTAACACACACAGTCTCAAGTCCAACTGTCAAGAGAGTCCTTCTTCCCAACTGAAATCTCCCGAGTCTGGCTTTTACTATCTTCATTTCTATCAGCATCCTGGTCTTCTGAACTCTGATCAGAATCTCCCATTAAGCTCAGCTTACAGCATTTCAGGGCTTCTCTCACTGGCACCTCCAAAACTTTCCAAACTTCTCCTGCAAGCCAGTTCCAAAGGCTTTTGAATGACATGGTAAGGTAGTCACAACAACCCCACTTCTCTGGTACCAAAATCTGTCCTAGTCACTCTTTCATCACTGAGACATAACACCCAACATCAAAAACTTAAAAGAGGAGAGGTTTATTTTGATTCATGATTACAGTCCATGGTCAGCCAAGTCCAGCATGGCAGAGAGGCACAGTGGAAGAAAGCTGCTTATGTCATGGCGGCCAAGAAGCAGAATGAGAAGCAAGGAGCTGGGAAGAGAGATATATCCTTCTAGGTTATGTCCCAGTGACTCCTTACTTCCAACCAGACTCCATCTCCTAACAGCAAGTCACCTATATCACCCCAATTATTCAGTCACCATCCAAAACCCTTTCTATGAGTGCATGAAGCCTTTAGGGGACATTCTTGATCTAAACCATAACAACTGTATTTTTAGGCTACAGCTGGTATTACTGAAAGACTTTAGAATTAATTTAACACTGACTCCATTTGATCTTTTTAAAGTTCTCTTTTCCCTTAAGTAGTCTTTCCTGCTTCTTCTACATTTCAGTCTCAGTGATAATTTCTTCTTGCTCTTTCATTACTTCTTAAAATTGGCTACAACTATAAACCAAGCATGGTAGCACACCCCTGTAATCCCAGCACTCAGGAGGTCCATGGAGGAGAATTGCCTCAAGTTCAAGGCCAGCCTGGGCTAGTGAAACCTTGTCTCCAAATCAAACAAAGAAATAAATAATTGGCTACAACTGGTACAGAGGTTTCAGAATGGTGTATTAAGGTAACAATTACCCTAAACTTTCAACCAACAGAAAGAAGCTTGGAGTGAAAAAGCTCTCTGTAGAGTAATGTACATGAGGTTAATAAATGTTTTGTTGACAACTATAGTATTTTCCTATTTTTAAAAAAGGGATTTGTATATCTTGGCATAGATATGTTAGTTACGGCATGTAAGTTATGTAAAGGACTGTAGTTTATCTAAAATAATGTTAAATGGGCCGGGGATTTAACTTAGTGGTTCCGCCGCCTGCCTTGACAGCACAAGGTCCCGAGTTCGATCCCCGGTACCCCCCAAAAAATAAATGAATAAAAAATAAAATAAAATAATGTGAAATGGATCACAGGGACTTATGAAAACATGGAGCAGATATGGAACTATTATTTGTATAGTACAAACTGACAGATGTTAACACAATACATAACTGTTAAGTTACTGAAAGCTTCCTGTGTACAGGCCTATACTAAGTTCTTTTCATTCATTATTTCACTGAATTCACAATGACCTTATATGAAGACAAGGACTGCTTTGGAGATGTTAAGAAACCTGATAAAAGTCACACAAGTTGTAACTGGAACTGACTTCAACATTACTTCAGTACTTTTACATAGCTCCTTCTCCAGACAGTTTTCTGACCCTTCTGTGCGTTCGCAGTCCACAACCAGTTGAGAGTGAAAACAAAATCCAATGAGGCTTTTCCTATGCCTTTCCCTGCTAAGGGGTCCCGAGAAGTCTGTCAACAAGCCTGTCCCTTCCTCGCTGGGCTGGGCAGTCGCTGTCTGGGGCCTCCGGAGGGACGTCGGCTCTGGCCTGCCCAGGGAGGGCACCCCCATCTCTCCTCGCCCTTCCCCCCTCCCAGCTCTGCCCGTCTTCGCCCTTCTCCCACCTCTACACACACACACACGCCCTCCCACACACTCACTTCCTCCTGGTTCTCACTCAGTTCCAGCCTGGATCTGTGCCCCATACTCACCTGCCCTCCGGCGGTCCCGGCCTGGGCGTGTTAGCCGAAGGACCCGGGGCGCAGCCGGCGCTGAGCCCAGAGGCCCGGCTGCTTCGTCTCCGCGGCCGGGGCTGCTTCGGTGCGGCCGGCTCTGGCTCCATGTCGTAGAAAAGAGGGTGGAGCGGTGGCCGGGTGCCCGGGAGACCGACACGAACGGGCACTGTGCCCACCAGCTCCTTCAGGCAGCAAGTGCCTGCTAACAGGGATCCGCCGCCACCATCATCCGGGGATTTGAAAATGGCGGCTTTGCAAGAATCAGCCAATCAGAGAGCAGGCAGTGGTTGCTAGGACATACAAAGTCCTGCCACTTCTCCTATTGTAATAAAGATCCATGGTAAAGGGAGGGAAAACAATAGAATGGGAATTAGGAAATTTGGTTTTAATTCTGACCCCATCCTGGGGAGCTATACCTTTTTCACTGGTTATTAGGACTCTCACTGCAGGCGAGGGCAATGGACTGGAAGTATTTTAGGTCACCAGATCTTACTTAGCATTTGGAGAGAGGATAAAACTAATTACCTGAACTGAGGCTTGGTTATTGGCCATGTACATTCTAACTTGCTCATGTGATCATGGAACGGTGTTCTCAGGCTGTCTCCAAGAAATCAGTGAAATCTAGTTATTAGCGCTCCTCTCTTCCAATAAGTCAGATACAGTCTCTGTACAGGTCCTAGAAGCTGATGGTATAATCAGAGGTGGTCAATCCTTTAGGAGCTCAAAATAATCATTGTTAATACTCCAGGATGTTGATGTGGGGATCTAATGAGAAGTACTTTCTAGTGATCAGAACATTGTTACTTTAGGCATTCATTTGAGAACATTATTTTGTTCAAGTATTCACAAGTACTTATTAAATTCCTACAGTAATATTCTACTAGATACTGTACTAGTGTAGGGATCAGGAATAGAAGACAAATTTTAAGCAAAAAAAATTTCAGGGGACCTTAGATAGAAGCAGAATAAAAGAAAATGGGCCTTATTGAGAGTCGGTCATTCAAGACCTGGAAAAGGCTGATAAAATCTCTTGGTCCTACAAGAAATCAACTTTTTGATAGTTGAATGTCCCTGACACTAAATTCATTGTTTTACTCTGCCCAGAATAGTGGGACCTCATCTCTTTTCTCTTCTTCTCATTTTTTCTTTCCACCTGTAAACTGTTATGCTCGACCAGAAGCTCCAGCCATGATGTGCTGCTCCAAACTCAAAGGCATAGAGCCAACTTATCATAGACTGAAACCTTGAAAACTGTGAGTCCAAACAAACCTTTCTGTTTTATGAACTGATAATGTCAGATTTTTTTTAATAGTAACAGAAAACTGATTATCTATCATGTATCATTTATTTATTGTATTGGGGTTTTTCAGATATTCTAATAAGGAAAAGAGAAAATCCCAAGGTTGGAGTGTTATCTATTAGGTTTAAAGAAGAATCAAAGTTGAAGAGAAAAATGTATGGCCAAGAAGATACTAAAAATCAGAAGTAGACTGAAACTACTACGCTTAAACTATCTTACTAAGAGGTCCCTGAAAATTTAAAAGGTTGAACTATGTTCTTAATAAGAAGGAAGAATGGACAAGGAAAAAGAGAAGGATTGGGGTACAATGAAGGGGAAAAGACAGTGGACAGAGATTTCCACTGTGGCATCAAGGATCCCAACAAAGAATTATCAAAGAGAAATTCAAAAATCTCAGAACATCAATCAGAATTGCTTCTCAGAGTTAAAGATTTTTAAAAAATATAAAATATGTTGCTAAGGTTTTGTTTCCTAGCCAGTGAATTAACTGGCCCATTTACTTCAAAACATTTAAGAAAAAAACTGGAAAGTTTTAAACACCACATTTTTGTTATTTAGAAAATTTTTCTTTAAGGACTTAACTACTAGGGCAGCTACTAAGTATGACTATATATATATATACATATATATATAGTATTCTTTTGTTAGTATATTTGCAGTACATATTGATTCCATTCATCATGGGTAGTTGCTACATGTACATAATACATCTTTTTTTTTTTTTTTGAGACAGGGTCTCACCATGTAGTCCAAGCTGGCCTCAAACTCACTATATAATAGCCCAGCCTGCCTCGAACTCATGGTAATCCTCCTGCCTCAGCCTCCCAAGTGCTGGGATTACAGGCGTGAACCACCATGCCCAACCATAACACATTTTAATTCCTTTATAATCCTCTTCTGCTCTGCTCCACACCACACCCACTCTCCATCTCAGGGATCTATTCCCTTTTGAAAAAGATCTTTCTCCTTGTTTCCTATTACCTATTTTCTCTTCAATTTATTTATATTTTGGGTTATTCATATAAGAGAAACTGCGTGATATTTAACTTTGCGTGTCTGATGTATTTCATTTTTTCAATTTTTTACTGGTACATGTTTATAGTACATAATAATTACATTCATTGTGGGAGTTGGTACATATACATGATATTTTAATAATTTTTAAACCCATCCCCTCCCATACCTCCCTCCTCCTTGCATCTCTTGCACTCCATATATATATGTAGTATGTGAAGATATCACATTCCTCAAAGGGACTTGGTGTACCTACACAGCACTTCACAACTTCCCCCACCATATCTGTAATCTAATTTTCCCCTCCCTTTCCCTTTCTTCTGTTTCTTCATTCCATTCTCATATGCCAAAGATTCATCTTGCTATTTCCCACTCTTTTATTTTGTATTTTATTTATATATTATTTATATAGTGAGGTTCTCATATAAGAGAAATCATGTGATATTAAAGTGCTTGTGTCTGCTTTACTTCACTTAATATTATGGTCTTAAGGTGCCTGCATTTTCCTACAAATGACCCAAGGTTATTCTTCTATAGCAGAGTATTACTCCATTATGTATAGATACCATATTTTCTTTACCCATTCATCTGTTGATGAACATTTAGGCTGCTTCCAATATTTAGCTATTATGAACTGTGCTGCAATAAACATAGGTATGCATATATCACTCTAATATGATGTCATAAACACTTTTGGGAAGAAACATAGGAGGAGAACAGTTGGGTCAAATGGAATTTCAATTTTTTATACTGTTTGTAGCAGTTTACACTCCTACAACAATGAAGAATGGTTCTTTTTTCCCCTGAAGCCTCTCTTGTTCCTATTATTTGATTTCATAAATGTAGCCATTCTTTCTGGAGTGAGATGGAATCTCAGTTTTCTTTTAATTTCTTGAATGGCCAGTGACGTTGAACATTTTTGCATGTAATTACTGCCCATTTGTACTTCTTCTTCTAAGAAATATCTATTTCAGATGTCTATTTTTATTGGGTCTTTTAAATAGGGGGTCTTTTTTTAGTTCTTTACATATTACAAATATTAGTCCTTTGATGAGTAGCAGATAAAATTTTGTCACATTCTGTAGGTTCTTTTTATGTACACATTCTGTGGGTTCTGCTTATGGTTTTCTTTGCAGTATAGAAGGTTTTTAATTTGATGTGATCCCATGTGTTTAATCTTGGTATTATTTCTTGTGGAACTGGGGTTCTGCACAGAAAGTGTTTGGCTACACATATGTCCAAGAGCTTTACCTATTTTGTCTACTAGCCAATTGTGGTTTTGTTTTAATAGTTAGATCTCAGATCCATTTTGAATTTAGTTTAGATCCATTTCAGGTCTATGTTCACTCTTCAACATGTAGAAAGTCAGTTTTCCCAATACCACGTGCAAAAGAGGCTATCTTTGCTTCATGAAAGTGGTTCCTTTGTTAAAGATAAGGTAGATGAGTGTGCTGGAAGCTGTTTCTGCATCTTCTATTCTGTTCCATTGATCCACAAGCCTGATTTTTCCAATACCATACTGTTTTTATTACTGTGGCTTTGCAGTATAACTTCACATCTGGAAATGTGATACCTTCCACTCTTGCACTTGTTGCCCAGAATTCAGAATTGCTTTTGCTATTGTAGGTCTAATCTGGTTCCCCATGAATTTTAGGACTGATTTTTCTAGTTCTGTGAGGTATGGTATTGGTATTTTGTTTGGGATTGTTTTAAATCTGTATAACAGATTTGGAAGCATAGCCATTTTGACCATATTACTTGTACATATCCAGGGAGAGTGGCTATCTTTTTATTTTCTAATATCCCCTTCAATCTCCTTTTTCAAAGTACTGTAGTTTTCATTGTAGAGGTCATTCACTTCCTTGGTTAGGTTGATTCCTAAGTTTTTCATTTTTCTTGATGCTATTGTGAAAAAGTTTCCCTAGTCTCTGTCTGTCTCTCTGTCTCTCTCTCTCTCTCTGTGAATTTATTATTGCTATACTCAAATGCTATTGTTTTTTTTTTTTTTGAGTTGACTTTGTACCCTAGTATGCTACTGAATTTGTTTTTTAATTCTAGGAATCTTTTGGTTCAGTTTTGGGGATCTTCTTTGTACAGGATCAAGTCATCTGCAAATAATGATAATTTAAATTCTGCCTTTCTGATCCATATTCTTTTTATTTCTTTCTCTCACCTCATTGCTCTGGCTAATATTTTGAGAAATATATCAAGCAGCTGTTATGATAGTGGACACACATGTCTTGTTCCTGATTATACAGGGAAAGCTTTCATCAGGACCTAAGCTTTTCTTACTTGGTAGTGTTTTTATTACATCTTTTAATTTGACTGATATTGCATTATTCAGATTTTTTATATCTTCTTGGTTTAGTTTTGGCAATTCATTTATATCTAGGAATTTATTCATTTCTCCTGAACTTTCCATTTTATTAGAGTAAAGGTTCTCAAAGTAGCTACCAATGATAATCAGGATTTTGCCAGAATCCATTGTGATTTTGCATATTTTATTTCTAATTCATAAATTTGGTTTTTTTTTTCCTTATTGTGGTGAGATTAGCTATGGGTTTTTCTCATTTTGTTTATTCTTTCAGAGGACTAGTTCTTTAATTCATTGATTCTTTGTATTGCTTCTTTGGTCTCAATTTCATTAATTTCTGCTTTGATCTTTATGATTTCCTATGCTGTCTTTGGTTTTGGATTGTTCTTGTTTTTCTAGGTCCTAAAGATGTATCATTAGGTTAATTTTTGGGATTACTCTGTTTTTCTAATGTGGGCATTCACCACTATAAACTTCCC